GCATATTTTCCGTAATGAAGTAGTGTTTCATCTTTGGATTGCTGGGTGTTCGTACTACACTGCGTGTGCTCCTTGCCGCGTTGGTCATGCTCGGTCGGTCGGTAGACGTGCGGCGGATGCATAGAGTAATCGGACGGATGGCGCAGCGTGTTAACTACCTCTCGGCTTCGACTGCGTGCTCTGGCTGCCACATTTTGCAATTCTGTACTAGTAGCAAGGTACTCGATCCTCGATGTGTTTGGTCGTGCATCACCAGATCCCTAACCCCGCTTCTAGTACGAGCACTGATGTACACCACAATCACGACTTGAAGTTACTCGAAAAGGTGTGCGACGACCTTGTTGAAGATCGCTTTGCACGTCTCGGGCGTGCTCAGCGGCGACGCCATGATGTACAGGACGTTCCCGAGCGACCGGGCGTAGATGCCATTCGCACGGAGTCGCACCAAGACGTCCTGGCCCGTCGTGTCCGTGTACCCACGCGACGTCGATGCGAGTTCGATCACGAGCACCGTGCCGATTTGAAACGCGCGGTCGACGCCCGGGCGCGCCGCCAACGCCGCGACTTGGTCCGGACTCCACTGCACGCGCGTGACGCTGCCCTTGGGCGTCGAGAGACCCGTGTACATGTCCAGGGCCGTGATCGCCGCTGCGCATCCCACGGGGTTGGCCGTAAACGAGTGACCTGCCCTCGGGTTTATCTCGCTGGTATACTGTACAAACCGTACCGTGCAGGAGCGCGTCGGCCTTCGAGTCCGCGTAAAATGCGTCAAAGACGGCGTTCGTGGCGAGCGTCGTCGAGAGCGGCACCGCGCCGCCCGTGAGGAGCTTGGCGTAGCAGGCAATGTCGGGGTTTACATGCAAAAGGTCGCGGGCCGACTCGGCGCCGAGGCGCCAGAACCCGCTAAACACTTCGTCAAAGACGACCGGGATCTTGTGGCGCTGGCACACGCGCACCATGGTGCGCTGGAAGAGCGGGTCCACGAGCACCATACCCCCTAGTAGCTCATCGTTCAGACGCTAGTTTACTGGCAGGGGTAGGGTACCGGCGCCAATGAGCACGGGCTCGAGGATAAGGGCACCGATGACCGTGTCGGACGGGACCGTTGCGAGAAGCGACTCGATGTAGTCGGTGTACGCCGCCGTGAGCGCCGACCCGTCACGGGAAATGTCAAAGACGTCGTTCATCGTCGGCAGCTGCGTCTCCAGCGACGGGTTGACGTCCGCCCACGTGATGCGCATGTGGCCATTTGACGCCACCGTCACGGACGGCGGCTGTACAAAGAGCGCCTTGGGCTTGTACCTATCGTCCATGACATGAGCGACATACGGTGTCATTTGTCAAAGTACTATATACCAAGGGTGCTGGGTGGCATTGTAGACGCTCGGCTCGGCCACGTCCATAGCGCCGAGCGTGTCGCCGTGGTAGCAGCCGGCTTGCGCAAGCACGATTACGTTCTTGATGCCTTCAAACGACATGCTCAAACCGTGGTCCACCGCGTACTTGCGCAGCGCCTAGGGTTAGTCTCATGAGAAAATACGAGAGTCGAAATATCAATTTACCATCTTGATACCAATCTCGACAGCCGTGGACCCGTCGTCCGAGAAGAAGACCTTGCCGGCCCAGCCCTTGCCGACCGACGCGAGGAGCTTCTCCGAGAGCACGACCGCGGGCTCGTGCGCGTTTTCCGGAAACATCACGTGGCCGTACCTACCGTTGTCGCACAATTGATACATTGATACAAAACATCAGCAAGTACCGGCCGGCAGCCGTGGCCAGCGACAGCGCCATCTTGGCGTTGCCATGTCCAACACCTTGCGTCCACCAGGACGCGCAGGCGTCATACATGGGCTCGATCGACGCCGTCGCGTCATTGTACGTGGCAAACGTGTCACCGTACGCCGAGTCGATGACCAGTACGCCCTTGTTGCTCTTGTGTTGCGTGAACGGCCACCAGAGCGTCTACATCATGTGAGACAAGTTGTCCACGAAAACGACAATGTACATCTTTGGCGATGGCGGGCAGAGCGCGCAGTCGGTCGACACGCGCGGCGTGCGTTGTCGCGATGCTGTCGTAGACGGCGCGAAACGCAGCGTCCGACTTGGCGTACCACTTTGTGAGCGGCTCGGGCTGCGGCGGGAGCTTGTCAAGCGCAAAAATCGGGATCCCGAGCTCGGTCGCGCGCTCGGCGATCGCATCGGCGTTGCTCAAGTTGTCTTGTTCGATGAGGACAATACACGACACGTCATAACCCTATCCCACGCACTTGCAAGGACTAACAATTGGAAGCAATGTCGTACGCGCAGGAGAAGCGAGTCGAGCGCCGACATGGTGGCCGAGATACCGCCGAGGCGGCCGTCACCGACAAGCACGGCCGGGAGGCGCAACGGGCGGTAGACGTCGCACTGCAGCTTGCCACTTGCCGAGGGACTAGACAAGGTATCATGAGACATGACGTATGGCGGCTCACACGATCAACCTGCAGACGCCACCGGCAGTCTCGACGACCGTCAACGCCGATGCCGCGGCGTTGGCCTGCAGCTCGCGCAGTGTCTTGCTAAGCTTCGTGACGACCATTGCGTCATCGACTGCCTTCTTTTCCAGCGACGCGGCCAAGTGTGGCGAGACGGCGGTCTCCCACGAGAAGAGCGTGTGGCTCGTCAAGCGCTTCTCGGCGTCGTTCGTATGGCGCGAGAGGAAGCCAGCGTCCAGCATCGAGTCGCCGCCCGTCTGCAGCGGCTTGACGTAGCCCACGGTCGCAGACGAAGACGACTGGAGCGCCGCGCGGCAGAGACCGGCGGCGACCACGGTCTTGCCCACGTCCGTGTTGGCACCAAACACTTGGACGATCGGCGCATGGAGCGACGCCGTCACGGCGTTGGGCAGCGACTGGTCGAGGACCGTCTGGCTGCCGATCTGGGCGAGGCCCGCGCGGGACGCGTAGGTGCGAGCCACGACCTTGGGGCGGAGGCAGCGCGAGAGCATCGTTGTGGGCGGTGCAAAATACAAAATGACACAAGCTCGGCCAGTAAAGGTCGGCACGTGATTGGCTGCTTTCCGCATCCACCACGTTGATTGGCCAAAATCATTGTCGCCAGGTGGTGGCGATCCGGTTGACGCAAGAGGCCCAGGGTTTGGCGCGTCATGTGATCCGAGGGCTTCTGGAAGCGACGTCGACGGCGTATGCGCCGTGCAATAGGGATACGACGAGGCACGTCGGACCAATCACAGACTCGTTTCACCATGGATACCTCATAAAACTATAGAGCACGTGCAGAAGGGACACAAAAATCTTTGCTCTGACGTCATTCGCAGCCACCGAGTGGAGCTAGCTCGATGACTTGGGTGTAAAAGAGCGAGGCTCGTACTCTCCACTCGCAGTACATGGCGTGCCGAGTGATTTCAGGTGCGTTCAGATGCCAGATCCATTCTGGGCAACCGTGGCGAGCCTCTTTTGAACCGAGTAACCGATAGCTTGTCATCCTTTAGTTGTCGACCGGGTTGCCCCCCAAAGATTAGGACATTGGGTACGTGGAATGTACGCGTCGTTGACTCACTTGACCACGCCGCCCACCCTTTGAATGGTGCACTGCGACCACGTGCGCATCGCATCTCGAAGGTGCCGTCATCTTGAAGTGCTCGAGGTTGTGTCCATCCAAAGGTGTACATTGGCTACATCCTGGGCTACACCCCTACACCCCACTGCCAATGCTGGCGAAAACTTGAGCACGCCAAACGGCGCTGCATGATAAAGGCGGTGCGGTGACGAGTGCTTTTGTACCTCACTCTTGTGCATTTTCGAGTAAGAAAGAACGTAGATCTTAGTCCGAGAGGTTTCAACACCAAGAACCGCGATACCCACAGCAAACTAGGGCACCCCATATATCCTCACTCAGCAGCGATTGAAGTACCACTTCGTATATTGCACTTGGATCGACATGTGTGTACACACTGTCCTCCAACACGTTGCATAAAAACGCCGCCTTCCCATCGCACCACCGACCGCCACCGTGCGTTCCTAGCCGACGTTTACACGACGTTTCCGCCAACGATATCTTCTGAACGACATACAAACACCAAGTGACATTCCGTAAGAAGATGTTGATGCTGGCTTTTGCAATTACGAATCACAGGCCGCCGATCCCAGTGTGGCAAATCCCAAGATGCAGCCTGTCCGTCGTGTCGCGCTGCGCGTCGGCGCCGCCCGCGCGTACTCGACGCCGGCCTTTGGCGCGGTCCAGGCCACGTACACGCTCGCCAACGGCCACCCGCTGCACTACTTTACGCACGGCCCGGCGAACGCCGAGACGACGTACGTCCTCTTCCACGGCGCACCCGGGTCGCACAAGGACTTCAAATACCTCGCGCCGCTGCTCGCCGAGACGAACGCCAACGTCATTGCATTCGACATGCCGGGCAATGGACTGACGCCGGCGGCGGCCGCTGGTGGCATCCCGGGTCTCAGCGCGGACACGGTCAATGCGGCGGCTGTGGAAGCCATGGACGGCCTTCGCACCGGCCGCCGGCGCATCGTGCTGGGCCACTCGTGCGGTGGCCACACTGCGATCCAAGTGGCTGCGCGCGCCAAGCACGTTGACGGCCTCGTGCTGCTCAACTCGATGGGGCTCCGGCCGCACCAGGGTATTCGTCCGTTTGGCGTCATGAACTGGATGGCGAAGCGGCTTTACACCGAAGGCCTCGCACGGGACCTCGTCGCCAAGGCCAACCACTGGCTCTTCGTCGAGATGTACAAGTTCCCGCGCCGGACGCCGCTCGATGACCTCACGTATGCGCTGCAGCGTTTCGGAACGGCCAACTTTGCCAACACCAACGTTTTTGCTGCCGAGCTTCAAGCGCGCGAGTTCCCAACCTTTGCCGCGTGGGCTGTTGACGACGCTCTTGTCGAGAAGGAAGTGTCGCGTGAGCTCAGCGAAGCCCTGCGCGCCAGTGTTCGAAAGGAGTATGCTTCGGGCGGCCACAACATTCAAAAGATGCAGGCTGCGGACCTCGTTGCAGCATTGGCCACGTGGAGCAAAGCGCTGGGATCGCCTTAGCTCATTATGGAATCGAAAGCGAGGAACTCGTAGAGAGATACACGTTCTTGTAAATAGCAACTTTCGAGGTTACGTTACATTCGGCGTGTCAGAGACTCGACCTCAGGAGTACACTTGTAGCAGCTATTGGCGTCTCGATCGTGTATGCACCCCGAGCACACGAGTCTCTTGGGTAGGCAGCGCAAGCGTCGATGCTGCTCGACTAGATTGAAGTCGGCTCCGTTGATCCGTTGATCTCTGGCAGAAACCTTGAAATGACACACCGCCAGAGCAATAAGGGTACATGAGTTCCGACCGACGACTTAATAGAGCTTGTGTACAAAGCAGTGACGTGTGGAGTCAGATGATGGAACATTTCAACACACTTCATTAAGCAAAATATCCGAAAACATGCACATGAAAAAGCACGGGCGGAGAGAGCGTCAAGGCGGGCGTCGGCGCGGGTGCGCTTGTGCTTGCGGTGGAGTTTGTAGTACGTCCAGTCGCGGCAAAACGTACACTGGTACGTGCCCGCCAAGAGCACCGTGTTGCTGGCCGACGTGAGCGCATTTGGTTGGAAGAGCGCACACTCGTCGCAGCACGGCTCGGGTCCACGCTTGCGCATGTTGAAAGGATGCTCGTTGGTGAAGGTGACCACGACAACCTTCTTGGTGGTCGCGGCCAAGGGGTGCGAGCTTCTTCAGTGAGTTCTGGGGCCGCATCCGTCGACGTTGCAGGAGCGACGCTGCCAGAGGCTTCGTGTTGCGCTCGAAAGTCGGCGAGCTTGGGCAGCGGCGGGGGAATCTTGCCGGCTGCAATCGCCTTCTTTCGCGCCCGACTAGTAAGAAGAGACATGAGACAACCACTTCAACGCAAGCACAATGTACCAAGCTCGGTCGTATGCGTTTCTGAACGCCCGATTCGCCAAGTGCCACGACTTGGACTTGGCCTGGCGGACGTCCTTGTGCTTCTGGTAATATTGCTTCTTCTTCGCCAGCACTTGCTTGTGGTTCTTCTCGTAGTAGGCCTTCTTCTGGACCGCAAGCTTCTCTGTGTTGGCTGCGCGGTACTTCTTATGTTGGGCCCGCACTTTTTCTGCGTTGGCAGCGCAGTAGATCTTGCCCTTGACCGCAATCTTCTCTGTATTGGCAGCCTTGTACTTGTCGTGAATACGCTTCCGCGCCTTCTGGACGTCGTCTGTCACCGCCATGGCTTCTTGGTGAATGCCACGTTTGAGCCGGTTGGATTCGATTGCCATATCCGGAGTATTCTGCGCCTTATCCGGATATGTAAACGCCCGTTGCCAACTAGACGATGGCGCATGTCACTACAAGCCCCATGTTCTACGAGACGAGGTCCTGCTGCAACGGTGCTTTCTTGGCCAACAGACGCGCTTGCGATCAATCACAGAAGAGCGCCTCAAGTGCTCGAACGAGGCTTCTGTCCTGGCTCTTCATCACCAATTCGCAAGAGCATACAACAGAGTGTAGTCGTATGACATGGCGTCAAGCCAAGATCCCAGTGACAGCGAGATTTGCCCATTCGACTCGGTGAATGCCTTGGTGAAACTGCGCTCGTGCTGCCACGTATTTTATCCGGATAATCTTGCCATCAAAACCCCTTCAAGGGTTGAAGCAGGCAACCAACGAAGTCTCTTCGGTGCCTTCCATGGCTTGTTCGAGAATCGCGCTATACGCGGGTAACAACGACAATGTGTACACACTTTCTAACGTATCGTGTAGTTTTAGAGTCCGAGGCGGGTCGAGATCCACGTTGCGACATTCGCAACAACATCCTTCACTTGGGTCTTTTGCAAGTTGTGGCCGCCGACAGGGTATGCCAGGTGCACGTCGGCCGCGAGGCGCTCGCTCAATTCGAGTCCGACGTTGGGTCGCACGACAATATCGTCCATCGCATACGCGACAATCGTTGGTAGCTGCTTGGCGCGGAGACGCGTCACGCAGGCTTCGATCGCGTCAAAGTCGCTCGACCCGAGGCGCTGGAGCGCAAAGGTCAAGTCGTCGATCGGCGTGTTCTTTGGAAACTTGAAGATGTTCATGTAGCGCCAGTGGTTGATGGCGATCACGAGCTTCCGGAGAAGACCGTCGGTGCGAAGGAGGCGAGAAAACGGCTGGGCAAACCGCTCGTACGGACGCCGATCGAGGCCGACTGAATTGAGAAGCACGAGACCGCGCACATCCCGGCTCGTCGCCGCCGCGACCTGCATGGCTGTGTGGCCGCCGAACGAGTGCCCGATCAAAATGACCGGCTGGCTCTCGCGCAGCAGGCCATTGACGACTTCGGTGGCCGCTGTAGCCACCGTCTCGGACGACAGGTGGGCTTGGCCGCCGGCCGCATCGCCGCTGGTGCGACCATTCCCAGGCAAATCGAGTGCAACGACATTGAGCTGCGGCAGCGCCTCGACGAGCAGAGGCGCAAGGTACTTGAAGTCCTTGAACGACCCGGGTGCGCCGTGCAGAAGGACAACCGTGGCCGCTGCTGTCGACGGCCCGTGGGACGTAAAGTACACATCGTGGCCGTTGGCGAGTGTATATGCGCCGCCAACGGAGCCGTACGCTGGGAACGCAGTCGACGACGCTTGCCGAAGCCAGCGACCAACCGTCGACGGTCGACGAAGCAGCGCCATCATCTTGGTTGTCGATTATGAAATGGCTTACGCATCACGCCCGTGATTGGCGTCCCGATAAGTACGGTTAGTCATCCGGTTATGCTAGTCCACGAGCCGGTTACAGAAGATACACCTCTGGGTTTAGCGTTGCGGCTCGACGTCGGAGCCGCAGCGTACTCAAGCAACAACTTGTCTCTGGTATATCAACGGACGAGAGGCAAAGGTGCGCACTCGCACCCAGCACCTCCAGATACCACGCTACCAACGTGGTCGTTTTGTCGTCAACATGATGACCAACTCGATGCAGTCGACTCGAGATAGTGTCTATATACCAGGTAGTAGCTAGCTATTCGTCGTCGATTGTATATATAACAAGCTACTGAACAGTACCTTACGACGGCGGCCATGACTTGAAGTGTCCACATTGTCTTTTGGATGTCAAGTACATCAAGACAGTATTCCCCACAGAGATCGAGGTGGACTATAAACCTTTGAAAACGCATATCCGATGGTATTATTTGTCACGGTATTGCCACGACCACTAAACGGAGCGCAGAGATTTGGTTGCCGGGACCGATGTCGCACTCGCAGCACTTCCTCTGCCACAGCGACCTCGTCCAGAGCACGGGCGTGCTCTTCAGCCTCATGGGGCCCTTCGTCTCGCCGGGCGTCTCGGACCTGCTCGTCGTCTACGCCCAGCGGCTGGACGTGTACCGGCTCGAGACTGCGGTGGCTGCCACGGACGCGGTTGTCTTGCATTTACTGCACAGCTTTCCGCTCGCGGGCGTGGCCGAGTCGGCGAGCCTTGTGTACGTCAAGAAGAAGACATGTCCGTGCTTGGCGCTGACGTTCGCCGCGGCCAAGCTCGTGCTCGTGCGCTTTGACGCTGAGACCGCGTCGCTCGTGACCATGTCGTTGCACAACTTTGAAGAAGATGGCATGGGCCTTGGCACGGCGCTGCAAGGCGACCGCATTGGCCGCACGCAATTCCAGGGCCTCGCCAGCGTCCCAATCGCCAAGGCCGACCCGGACAATCGTTGCATGGGCCTCTTGCTCTACAGCGACCAAGTGGTCTTGTTGCCGCTCGATGACAATGCAGCGACCGCCCACGTCATCGACGACGACGATGAAGACGACGAGACCAACTACGAAGACCCGAGCCTCAAGCTCGAGGACCGCGCGCGTGCCGAACAGTACGCGTCGACGTTGGCGACCTTTGGCCTCAACACGGTCGCCGGGCGTGCGTTCATCTTGCGTCTCAAAGAGATTGGCATCCACGGCAAGGTCATCGACATGGCGTTCCTGGACGGGTACCTCGAGCCGACGCTCATGGTGCTCCACGAAGAGAGCGACAAGCAAGCGACCGTCGGACGCTATGCGATGGGCTACAACACATGCAGCCTCACCGTGCTCTCGATCAACCTCGCGACCGGGTACCTCTCTCCTCTCTCTATGCGAGAACTCATGCATGCTCTAGGATGCATCCAAAGATCTGGTCCATCATGCAGTTGCCGTCGGATGCGAGCGCCGTCACGGCCTGTCCCGCGCCGCTCGGTGGCGCGGTCATTACGACCCAGAACGCGTTTTTGTACTTCAACCAGAACCAGTACTTTGGCCTGTCGACCAACTCGATCGCCGACTCGATCATGGACACGACCAAGCTGCCGCTGCACCGATCGCTGCTCTTGCCCGACGAGTCGTTGCTCCTTACGAACGCGCGCCTCTCGCCGTTCCACGCCATCGACGAGATGCTCGTGTCGCTCGCCAACGGCAAGCTCTACGTGCTCTCGCTGCCCAGCCACAAGAGTTTGCGCCAAACCGGCTACTATGGCAACGCTGTCTGTCAAATGATGCTGCGACCACTGTGCGATGAGACGTTCACGACGTGCACGTCGCTGGCGGTCGACTCGACGAGCCAAATGATCTTCTTGGGGACGCGCGACGGAAACTCGCAGCTCCTCACGTACACCAACGACGTGTTGCAAGCCCCCGCCGCTGGTACCTACTCGACATATCCTATCCATGGACTCATTTTGCTCATGTAGATGCAAGCAGCTTGCAGCCCGAGGTCGAGGCAGCGCCCGTGCCTGTGCCCGATGACTTGGACTCGGACGGCGAAGAGATCTACCTCTACGGTCGCCTCCTGGACGCGCCGTCGTCGGCCGCCGATGCGTCGGCGTCCAAAGAGTCGATGGCCGCGTCGTTGGCGAAAGCGTTTCCGTCGTACACGGTGCGCATCGTCGATGAGCTCGCAAGCATTGGCCAGGTGACGGCCATGGACATGGGCTTGGACCTCGAAGAAGACGACGAGACGACGACGGTGCCCCGGGACGAGCTCGTGCTCGGGGGTGGCTTTCTGCATCGGTCGTCGCTGTCCGTGGTGCACCGGGGCATTCGCCCGGTCGTGACCACCGAAGCCGAACTCGACGGGTGTCGCATGCTCTGGACGATTTACGGCCGGCCGGACGCGACGGACGGACATGACCCGACCGCGCACAAGTACGTGGTGCTCTCGCTCAAGAATAAGACGATGGTGCTCAAGACGGGCGATGAGATGGAGCCGATCGAGGACGAAGCGAGCTGCGGTATGTATCTCGAGGGCCCGACGCTCGCGATGGCCAACTTGCTCTCGCATCGCCGCATCGTCCAAGTGTTCAAGCTCGGCATTCGGCTGCTCGAAGAAACCGCAGACGGGGTCTTGGAGTGCACGCAGGAGATTCCGCTGGACGCCGATCTCGACTGCGGCGGCCTCGGTGTCGATGACACCATTGTCGTCGTTGCCGTCGACGTCCTCGACCCGTACCTCGTCTTGCTGCTTAGCGACGGCTCGATTCGCCTTGTCGCGGCAGATCCAAGCGACATGGACCTCACGGTCGTGCACCCAGAAGTGCACAGATCGTCGGCCGAGTCCAACGTCACCGCGCTCTGTTTGTTCCACGACTGGTCCCAGGTGTTTGCACCGCGGGCTGCGACCGTCACGCCGTCTGAGAGCGTCGACATGGAGGACGACGACGACGACACGATCGACCGGCTTGTCGCGGAAGAAGAAGAACTCGAAGAAATCTACAATGTGTCGGCCAGTCACACGGCGTCGACGCACGTGGAAGCGGCGACGTACGCTGCGCAGCCGATGCTGTCAGAGGCGAGCGCCACCAAGCCCCTCTTTTGCGCCGTCTGCGACGACTCGGGCACGCTCAACATCTACGCGCTCCCCGACTTTGAGCTCGTTGCGAGCTACCCGGGGCTGCACTTGGCGCCGCAGAGCCTGCTCAACGTCGTCGATATGCCAAATGCATTTCCGCCCGTGGGCTTGACGCCGACCGAAGCGACGCGCAAAACGGCGCTCTACTCGCCGATCGCCGACCTCAACATCCACCGCGTCGGGCCCTCCGATGCGCGCAACGGCCAGCTCGTGGCCCAGATGGTGCTCGTTGTCTATATGGCCAACGGCGATTTGATTCTGTACGCGGCGAGCCCCGACGGGAGCTTTGCCAAGCAGCACGCGCAGTGCATCACACGCGGCTTGGCGCTCAAGAAGGAGACGACCGCGGTGCATGTCAAGCAAGCGCTCAAGCTCTTCCGGTACCCGATGCTGTGTCGGTACAGCAACGTCGGCGGCCACAGCGGCATCTTCTTCCGCGGTGTCTCGCCCATGTGGATCCACAATGCCCGCGGCCGGGTTGGCCTCACGCCCATGGCGGTCCCAACGTCGCGGCGCAGCGCGGTGCCGGTCCTGGGCTGGACGGAATTTCAACACTGGAACTGCCCCACAGGCTTTATGTACTACCACTCGGACGGCGTCCTCCGCGTCTGCGAGTGGCCGTCGAACGCCAACGTCGTCGGCCACGGCCAGTGCGTGCTGCAGAAGGTCCCACTGGCGTCCACGATCCACCACGTGGTCTACGTGCCGTGCACGGGCGCCGGCGCCGTCCAAGAGGCGCTCAAGACACCCACGTACGCAGTCGTCGTCAGCAAGTCGATTGTGCCACCATTCGAAGAAGGTACGGTCCTCCACGAATGTACATATTGTCTTATGATTCGATTGTAGATGAAAAGGTGGAGGACGTGGTCGAAGCCGAAGACGACGGGTACACGGCGCCCAAGCCCGGCGAAGTCCTCGACAACCTCACGTACGCCGACTATACAGGTACCGAGTTGTCTTCGAACGTGCTCTGGTATCGATCGTTGATCGCGTGCAGGGGTCATGGAAGAGCAGTACGAGCTGCGGCTCATTCAGCACAGTGCGGCGTGCGAGTGGAAGCCAGAAGGCGTGTTCTCGCTGCCGTTCGAGCGCCACGAGACCGTGCTGAGCGTCCAGATCATGTATTTGGCCGACATGCCCAACATTTTGCCCGCCGATTGGAAGATCAAGCGCAAGCCGTATGTGGTCATTGGCACGGGCATCGTCGGCCCGAACGGCGAAGATGAGAACGGCAAAGGCCGGCTGCTGGTGTACGAGATCGACTATGCGCAGTACACGAACGCGCAAGGTGTCACGGGCAGCAAGGTGCCCAAGCTCAAGCTCACGTACGCTAAGGAGCACAAGCAAGGCGCGATCTCGATGGTCAAGCAGCTCGGGATCTACGTGCTCGCGGCCGTCGGCTCCAAGCTCATCGTGTACGAGCTCAAGAACAGCCAGCTCGTGGGCTGCGCCTTCTTTGACGCGCAGCTCTATATCGTGAGCCTCAACGTGATCAAGGCCACGTACATTGTGTATGGTGACATTTACAAGGGCGTGTACTTTCTCAAGTGGAGCCCGACCGAGAAGCGCCTCGTGCTGCTCGCCAAAGATTTCGAGCACCTCGCGCTCTCGACCGCCGACGTCTCGGTGCTCGACACGCGTCTCGGGTTCGATTCGTACATTTCCTTGTGCGAAACATGAGATTTGACGTAGGATTGTCGCCGCCGATATGCTCTCGAACGTCCACACGATGCAGTTTGCGCCGGGCAACATTGAGTCGCGCGGTGGCCAGCGGCTGCTGCGGACTGCCGACTTTCACGTCGGTGCTCGCGTCACGAGCATGCTCCGGAAGCGCCTGCTCGAGAGCAAGGTGACGACGTACGTGACGCTTCTCGCGACGTCGGAAGGCAGCCTCGGCGTGCTCACGCCGGTCCACGAGAAGACCTTCCGCCGCCTGTACACGCTGCAGAGCATCATGATCAACGCGCTCCCGCACAATGCAGGTTTGAACCCGCGCGAGTTTCGGCAGGCGCCGCACACGCGCCAAACCGGCCGGCCGGACGCGTGGTGCAGCTGGAAGGCCAAAAAGGCGTTCCTGGACATGGCGGTGATCGGGCGCTTCATCGACCTCGACTACGTCGCCCAGCGCGAGCTCGCCCGCTGCATTGGCACGACGTCCGAGATGGTTTTGCACAACCTCCTCGAGCTCCAACGAAGTGCACTCTTCCTGTAATATGACGCTGATGCTCTCTGCTTGCGTTGGGGTCGTCGGCTTCGGCTTGAGTGGGGCGGCAGCAAGACGTGGGTGGAGCGATGACCGACGGCGTAGGCGGTCAGGGGCTCAGGCTGGTAGCTCTGCAAAAGAAGTTCGAGTGGTGGATGTACTCTACTAGAGCAGAGTCGTTGAGAGTCGTTGTGGGATCGAGACAGCCGCGTTGGTATGTAGCCGGTGGCTCCAACTCAAGTCGTTGTCCTTCGCTGCAAGAGCAGCCGACTGTTGCAGAATGACCGCAGTAGAGGACATGCAGATAGTCCACAGGTCGATATACACGAGATAGCTAGCTTCTATCTCCGTGTGAACGGTGCAGCAGCGAAGTCGTTGAAGCGACTCACGCCGCCTGTCCGACCTGCAAACGCGGCCTGTGATTGGTGGTCGACCCCACTCGTCCAGCAGCCAATCAGAGACGCGGCAGGAACCACAGTGGGACGGGACCGCCACGTCGGTCTGTCCCGGCGCCACCTCCTTCTGCCGCTCGTCCCAGAGCTCTCGCCCTTTGTTCCGCATCCCAACGACTCTACGAGAGAGTCGTGGTAAATGTAGTTAGTACTTGGTTGCGGTCGTCGTCGGTGGCGACGACCGCTCGTCTACGTTGTACGTGGGCAGGGTTGGGTGTCTTTGCACCCAGTTGCGACTCCTTGATGGCATTTACGACCAGGCCTCGTCGTGTCGTCATGTCGATCTCGTTCTCACGAGCGTCGTCGCTCTGGCGCGACACGGCGCCCAAGCTCAGCTCGACCGCGTCCGACATCATCCTCGAAGACGAGCGCTACTACGCCCGCCGCGTCCACTTTGCCGTACCCGAGCCCACGATCGCACGCGCTGACGCCGACGACGGCGCGCTCCTGCCGGGCGGCCCCATTGCACTCACGACGCGTCCGTTTCTTGGCCTCGTGCTGCAGACGATCGGGCTCAGCATTGTTCTTGGCGGGCTCGAGCGGCTTGGCCCGACCGTGTACACGCGGCATCTGGGGCTCGAACTCGGAACGTACAGCAGCTGTGTGCACCTCGGGTGGTCGTGCCGCATCTTCTTTGGCATCGTCTCGGACTGCTTCCCACTGGGGCGGACGCGGCGCAAGGCGTACATGCTGCTCGGCTGGACCGTCAGTGGCGTCGCGTGCTTGACCATGGCGATCGTCCCGTTCCCAGCGCCGTCGACGTCACCGCCGCCCCTTTTTTTGGGCATGACGCTCCTCGCGGGCCTTGCTTGCGTCCTAGTCACTGTCGCATTGGACGCTGTCATGGTCCACTACGCCCAGCGCGAGCCCGTCGAGGTGCGCGGGCGGACGCAGGCGATGCTCTTCTGCAGCCGGATGGCCGGCGACGTCGTGCCCTCGCTCTTTTGCGGTCTTGCGCTCCAAGACCAAGCGATCGGTGGCGCCTACTCGTTTGGTGTCTCGCCCAACGTCACGTACGCACTGCTCACGTGGATCTCGGGCGTCTGTCTTGTCGCTGCCGTCTGCCTCGTCGTCGAGCCGGCGTACCCGGCCGCGGTCACACTGCCAGGCTACGTGCGCAGTGCGTGGCGGCTACCACAGCGCCACGTGATGACGCACCTGTGCGTCTTTCGCCTCGCGATCGACGCGTCGTTCTACTTTGGCGCCGCCTCGTCCCTGCCGCGCGTGACGGACATGCCGTCATTGGCCGTCACGACGGTCGTCACGTCCTGCGGTGTGCTGTTTGCGGCGGGTGCGCTTTGGTTTTGGGCGACGCACTGCCTGCGCTGCAACTGGCGCGCTGCAGTGGCCCTCCACACGCTGGTAGCTGTAGCCCTCGATGTCAGCACGACGCTGCTTGTTGTCTATGACGTCGCGGGCGCCGGCTACGTGCGTCTTGTCGGGGACGCTCTGACGCACGTGCCATGTGCGCTGCGCGCGATTGCGATCGCCGCCAGCGCCGTCGAGCTCGCCGACTTTGGCAACGAAGCGCTCGTCATGAGCGTTCTCACGACGTGGGCCGACATGGGCGTCGACGCCGCGACGCTCGTCTCCCGCCTCCTCATCCACGAGGCATCGGCGAGTGCGCGCCGATTCTACATGCTGAGCGCCTACTTGCCGGCGGTGGCGGTCCGTATTGCGGGCCTCGCGACGTTGGGGCTGGTGCCAAGCCAGAAGCACGACGTTCAAGTGCTCAAGCAACACGGCCGGTCCAGCCGCACGGCCGGTGTGCTCCACGTCCTGCTGCTTGTGCTACTCGGAACCATGTTTTTCGTGCTGCATGGAATGCCCCTATTTGGAGCGACGGGCGTCCCGCCAGTGCGACCGGCGGCGTGAGCCGCCCATTATTTAACTGCTCGTTGTAGCGTATGAGCTGTAAGTAAGTGTGTGAGTAGTTCTACATCTCGACAGTGGGCGACGACAAGCAACACCGGCCTCTGTCCTGTGCTTGGCCCAACTTCGTTCTCGACCTGCCCCGGTGCGCGCCGGTATCGAGGACAGCGTCGAAGCATCTCGCCAAGAGAGCCCTTGGCAATGCAGGTGCAAGAGCGGGTTTGCAACGTACAGATCGCACAGCGCTTGGTGGCATACTTGCTAGCTATGTAGGTAGCGACGTGGACCGAGAGCTTGTCGTCGGTTGAGCGGACAGGCGCTGGGACCGACGCGACTCAGCCAAAGATCATATACACTTGGACGCTAATGGCGAGGCCGAGGAAGATGAGGCTCAGTACGTGATGCCAACGAACGGGCAGCACGGGGCCACCCACCTCGGGTGTCGGTGCGACGCCGCGGACGTTGGTGTCAATGTCGGTGCCATGCGTCGCCTTCCACTGGCGCGCCTTGGCCACGTAGGTGGCTGCCCACTCGGCATCAAAGCCATCGCCTTCATCGCCAAATTGCGCATACCGGGCGAGGCGCTGCTGGATCTCGGCCACGGTCGACCCGCCGATCTCGTCGACGTTCTCGGCCATGTCGTGCTCGACATGGCGGCCCACATCGTCATCGTCGTCTACGCCATCGCCTTCGTCATCGTCATTGTCGACAAAGTCCGAGTCGTCGTCAATGTCGCCTTCGTTGCCGTCGTCGTCCATGGCCGCTGCCTCTGCTCGCCCTGCGTCGGCCATTTGATGATGAGCCGAGGGTCGCGGATCTCACAGTTACAACGGTGGGTCGCATTTAAATTCGGCATTCCATTAAATTCGGCATACTATCAAATTTAACATGCTCCTCTCATTCAGTGGTATGACAGACTACGCGCAGCAGAGCGCGCAGCGCCTATGAACACCACGAAGCTCGCTGTGGGTCGTCCATGCCGCATTTGTACCAAGGTACCAAGGTAGAATTGTCGACGACAAGGTCGAGCACCGCGGGCGTATTCGTGGCACATGCCGACTTTAGCACCGCATCTGGACTCTATCCGGATATCCGGTTGCATTGAGTTGGTGGCACTCCGCCGTGCCAGAAGCAGACGGAAAGGCCGAGCGCGATGACCACCGAGCAGCAGCAGCGCGTCCTCCTGCGCATCAAGCGCAAGCGCACGGACGATCCCGTCGAGCGCCTCGTCGTGCACTCCCATCACCAAGTGCTTCTGAAGAAGTCAAAGCTCGAAGATGCGCTCGAGAGCCTCTCGCTCAAGCCAGACCCGGCGGCGGCGGCGACGCCCGAGCCCGAGACAGCGCCCGTGTCGGTCATTCTCTTCACCCGCATCGACACCATGGCGAGTACGACAGACGACAAGATGCGCCAGCGACTGGCCAAGACGATGCAAAAGCACCATCTCGACCGGTCCAAGAAGACGGCGGCGACGACCACGCTCGAGTCGCGATCCAACCTCGCACAGCAGCGCAAGGACAAGCGGTACGTAGCTCTACTATGCTATTGCACTATAGGCTGGCTCTGTAGTCTCGAGCGCGTTGCCAAGGGCCGTGGTCTTAACCTCGTCGACGTCGCCTTGCCGACAACGACGTCACCGGCCACGACGACGACGGCCAGCGCGCCGCTGGCGGTGAACGGCGCCGAGCTCAAGGCCAAGGCGCTCAAGCGCGTGATGAACCCGATGGAGCGTCAAATTGACGAAGCGATCTGGACGGCGTTCAAGCGCAACGACTTTAGCGCATTCTTCCGTCTCCAGCAGCAAAGCGCGACCAAGACCATCGACCCGCTTCTGTTTCAGCGACCGGCGGACGGCGGTTCGCTGCTCATGGCCGCCGCCATGCACAACCGCACCGACGTTATCGAGGCCCTCCTTGCCATCCACTCGGTGCGCACTTCCCTTGGCCATCCCTTGGCTCATGCAACCTGGTCTGTAGAAGCACGTGGGGCTCTGCGACTACAACGGCAAGACCGCCGCCTCCTTTGCCGAAGACCACGGCCACGTAGCGGCGGCGACGGCGCTGCGCGCGTGCGAAGCTGTCGAGGACGACAAGCAGTACGTCTATGACGTGTACAGCATTGATGTCTCGGCCACGAAGCAGCTGCCGACGCGTGCGCCGTCCGAGCTCGAGAACGTTCCTGTGGTGGAAGGTATCCCACCGTTCTGCATTGGATCGACTTGAAGTAGCTCAACGGCTGAGGATGTGTTCTTGTCTAGTCAGCACCTCGGTTGAGAAGTGGCTCATGTACGAGGCGCAAGGCGACATGGACTCTGCCGAGCGGGAGCTGCATTTTGATGCGAGCGACAGCGACAAGGACGACCAGCACGAGTACATTGGCTTCTCTCTTGTAGGCGCGCTCATGTGTCACTAGGGACGATGTTGACTCGAACGACGAAGGCTACGTCTTCAACGACTACCCGGACGAAGAGTCGTCGGACGAGGACATCAACGACGCGGCCTCGGACGCCTCGGACGAGTGGCAGGCGGTACGCACTTCGATCCTTGCTCCTGCTCGAAAATATCACTCTAGGCCTGGCAGCGCAACGACCGCGACCTCAAGCACTCGGACGACCCGTGGTCGGCGGCGCACGCGCACCGCGACGACTATGAAGCCGACGGCGACTACTAATACCGGTATACTACTAATGATGACAAGAATTTAACCTTCAACTTCCAATTTTAGTTGAAATTCCAAGTTTAGTTAAATCGCTATAAATACACAAATCGACCGGTGCAAAGTGCAAAGTGGCGACGTTGGGAGGATACCACCTATTCTTACGCACCGTTCGTTGCTGCAAACAGCGAAATGCACACACTTGAACTCGATGGCGTCCGACGACCGGGTGCTCTGCGCCGTACCGCGCTGCGCCCGCTTCGCCAAGGTCACGGGCCACTGCCTTCGCCACGCCGCCGACCAGCACACTCGCACCGAAGGTCATCAGCACCAGTCGCTACGAAGAGAGAAGAACCGCGATCGCATGTGCTCGGCCGACACGCGGCGCATTCTGCGCGACCGCCTCCGACGTCGAACTCGACCGATCTCGTCGCAGTAGCACCTCTTAATTGAGAACCTTGAGCGTATTTGGATGCGTAGTAGCTGCGGACGCTGCACCCGTTGCAAACCGCATTCCGACATGGTTGCCGGTTCGATTCCCGCAGTGGACACCAGGTGATCGCACGAGCGACCAGCTGGCGACCGCCGTCGCGAGTGAAAGCAAACGAAAAAGCGCCGTCCGTCACCCGTGACTCACGCAACGCAGCGCTGTTCCACGTGGGACGCTTGACGTTTCGTCTCCATTCGTCGCCAGTGGACCTTCCTACTGGCAGGGTCTGTGGCTCGAAGCGTAGCAGGACCAGGTCTGACCAGGTTCGGGTCGGCGTGCACGCAGAGGAGGATGGGTACTCGTCGCGGGACGGGTGGCGGAGACGCACGACCCCGTCAAAAAAAAGTATCTTTAGCCAGCTGGCAAGTGCAATCTGGCGCTTTGTTGGGCCAGGTTGAAGTTGGCACGATCTGAGTCACCCGTGCACCTTATACCGATTACACGAAGGTTTCTTGCGCGCGGTATATAGTATATATAAGATTAAATACGCGGCGACGACCTACGGCGATGTTGTCCGTCGCGCCTTGCGTTTCACATGCCCTGGACGTCGGCGAAGCGGAAGTGCACCGAGCAGAGGCCGCGCACACGAGCAAATTTCGTGCAGCCTTCGAGCTTGCAGCGCGTGCCGCCGCCGTGGAGCCGGCACAGTCCGCCGGTTTGAGATGGCGTCGTGCAGTGTTCCATGAGGCACTTGCGCCCGCCGCCATGGCGCGTGCAGCAGCCACCGTTGCGCGCATACGACGTGCACGACGCGACCCGGCACCGCGCGTTGCGGTTGGGCGCGATCTCGTCGAGCTGGCGCGACGTGTCCTTGGCGCGCGTGGGATGCATGGACGGTTCGGCCCACGAGAAGGCGTCACGCTGCGCGTGCGGTGTCGAGATGGCTGCCGTTGCGCCATGGTGAATCTCGCGCACGGGCTCGAGCGCGAGGCGGAGGGTTGTGCGCTCGCGGTTGTGGAGGAGGCAGACGTCGGCTTCTTTGGCGTACCGGCGACAGGCCGAGACGCAGCAGAGGCGTAGGTCGAGCGATGCGCACCGGCGCAACGTTCGGACGGGCGCTGACGCGCCTTCGGAACGCGACCGCTCCCGCGGCATGAGGCGAAGCATCGTGGATGTCGTTGATTTGACGCGGAAGAAGAAAAGCGAGAATAATGACAGACGTCGTCGCCGGCTTTCTTCAAGAACGCGGCCGTTTGTTTATTTCTTGAATCATTTGTTTCGAATTTCTTTTTCTCGGTCCCACTTTGATATTCGTTTACATAAAGTGCTTGTCGCGGTCGTGGCGCCGTGGCCAGACACGTCGGATGGCGGTCGGCATACTCATCTTAGCGAATGCACCTTTGCAGCCCGAGACACAAAAGCTACTGCGTACAGTAAACCAGGTTCGTTGGCCGGGATGTCGTCGTTGCCATGGAAGAGGAGAGAACAGCGTGCACGACCACCTCCAAACATCGGACCGACCAAGAGGTGGACGACTGGCGACACAGACGACGACGCCATGGGGGTGCGACTGGCGACCCGGCTTCATACATGACCATGATGATGGCCCTGCGGTCGTGGACGAGTTGTGCTAGGCCACTGAACTTGCTTCGGTGGTTTCGTCACAGGCCTGTGTCTGGCCACTCGCCGTCGTCACCAACGTCTTCGATTTCTCCGTGCGTTCGACCGTCGAAATGGCGTGCGAGATGATCGAGCCAGGACACACGGCGACGTCCGGTATTCCGACACCACTCCCGCTTGATGGTTCAGTCGTGCACCCAAATAGTCACATCTCGTCGGGTCGACGGCGCGTCGCGGCTGAAGACATGCGCGTCCCTTGCGACTACGCGCCTCGCGGGACGATGCGGTGGCGTTCGTTGGCTCATACTACCACGACCGAGGCCGTGCCCGATATAGATGAAAACATACTGGACAGGCCGATGCGTTTCGCGCACGGTGCCACGTATCTCGCACTTGATTGGCTATTGTCCGAAGTTCGAAGCGCGAACCGTTTCACGCCGCACGAGATTTGCCTTGCGAATCGGTTTCCGCCAAAAAGTATATATATCTTAGAGGGCCTTCCGCAAGTCACTTGCGATTTTACGGCCAACGAGTGAGAATGACGACGAGCCCGCTCAAGTACCGCGTGTGCGTCGTCGAAGGCTGCGACCGGTTCGCCAAGCTCCATGGCACCTGCCTCGCCCACGTGCGGTCCAAGACGACAACGACGATGTCCATGTCGGAGCCGCGCATTGTGCTGCCTGCGTTTGCGTCGCTCATGGCCGCGCCGGTCCGGCGACCGCTCGTGGCCTCGCCGCTCTACGCGGCGCCCAAGAAGCGCCCGGTGTGCGTGCGCCTCAAGAACCGCAATCGACAGTGCGCGGGCGACGGGTGCCTCGCGTACGCGCGGCGCGGCGGCTACTGCACCAAGCACGGTGGTGGCCGCAAGTGCACGATCCAAGGCTGCTCGACAACGGCGCAGGCGTACGGCATCTGCCGCCTCCACGGCGGTGGTGCCCGCTGCAAGGCGCGTGGGTGCCACCAATTCGCGCGGTCCCACGGCGTGTGTGGTCAGCACTACGCCGCCGACGAGAGTGCGACAGACGCGATGCTGGCGACCACGGACGAAGATGAAGACGACGACGACGACAGTAGCGTGCGATTGAAGGCGTGAAAACGCACGATGTAGACCGCAGATAGAGCGGCTAAAGTTATAAGGCGATAGCATGGCGTTGGGTGTTGATGGTACGTCGAACGGGTTTTCGAAAAGCCGCAGAAAATAACGAACAATCGAGGTTCGAAACGGGTGTCGGCGAGATCTGAGCGCGTTCGCATATCACATGCGAAGCGTGCATGGGCAAAGTCGACCGAATCTGCATACTCCACAGAGGTAAATCACGCGTGGCTAAGGAGTGCGATGGGCGAGGGAGGATCGAAGGTGAAGTTCGCTGCACCTAGTGGTGGTTGCGCCGCTGACGTGGCGCAACCACGGACCAGTACGTGGCCGCGAAAAAATTATTCGGCCGCTTGCGTCGATGACGACGGCGACAGGCCCACCGCCATCTGCTGTTCAATAGCATTGTACGAGCACCCATGAATGGCTCTGCAAACGGCGGAGATATCCTGCTGTGGGCGATGGTCGGTCGTGTGCTTTTTAAATGTTGAGCTGTTATATAAGGCTCGAATCGATTCGAATGAAACGAGCGAGCGTGGTTTTGTCACGGCTTTTTGGCCAATGGCATGCACGCTTTGATTGCTACAACTGAAATATATAGCTTGGTATTTGTATGTGGAGATGCCGATTTTAATGCGTGCGGAAGCTGGGGTTCCCAATCGGACGTGGCCATGAAGCTCTTGAAGCGCAGCATCAGCGAGAAGGACGGCAATGGCAGCGTGGTCCTCCGCGCCGAAGACCCGGAAGACATGTGGCATGTCTTCAACCTCATGCACCGGGGCGATACGGTCAAGACAACCACCGTGCGCAAGGTCGTCAAGGAAGGCGCAACGGGCTCGACCACGAGCCAGCGCATGCGCATGACGCTTTGCTTGCAGATGGAGCACATTGACTTTGACCCGATCAAGTGTCTCTTGCGCATCCGCGGCAAGAACGTCGAGGAGAACCCCCACGTTCGCGTAGGCCATGCGCTTCACCGGCGAGAGGCGGCTAAGCACCTTGCACGTAGATGGGCGCCTACCACACGATCGACTTGGAGCTCAACAAGGACTTTACGCTCGCCAAGCAGTGCTGGGACGTCATGACACTCGAGCGCATCGATACGGCGTGCAACGTGGCCAAGCAAGCCGAGGCCGCCGCCGTACGTTTTCACCTCGATCGCGTCGCATGCTCTGACCATCATCAAATGTAGGTGGTCATGCAAGCCGGCCTCGCGCACCTCTGTCTCATCAAAGGGCACATGACGGTGATCCGCGCCAAGCTCGAGACGTCAATTCCGCGCAAGCGCACGGGTAACACGTCGCATGCCAAGGGCATGGAGCGATTCTACGACAGCATCGTCCAGGTTCGCTGCCTGCACCCTCGTCGTCCACCTGCAACCGACATGTGGTAGGCGATCAAGCGCCACGTCGACTTTAGCTTGGTCAAATGCGTCCTCTTGGCGAGTCCGGGCTTTGTCAAGGACGACTTTTACAAGTTTATGATGGAGTACGCGGTGCGATCCGACGACAAAGTCCTCCTCGAGAACAAGGCCAAGTTTATTCTCTGCCACGCGTCGTCCGGCCACAAGCACGCGCTCGACGAAGTGCTCACAGACCCGGTATGTCTCTCCTCATCGTCGTCTCAGACGCGACCTTATCGAGGTAGAAAGTCCAAGTGCAGCTTGAAGACACCAAAGCGGCCGGCGACGTCAAGTGCCTTGAAACGTTCTTTGAGATGCTCCACACCGACCAAGACAAGGCGTACTATGGCTACAACGTACGCTAGCATCGCTCGTATGTGTCTCATGACAGAATGCGACATAGCACGTCGTCAAGGCCAACACGCAGATGGCCATCGACACGCTCCTCATCACGGATGCGCTCTTCCGCAGCCAGGACCTCGCGGTGCGCCGCAAGTACATTGACTTGGTCGAGAACGTGCGCGCGAACGGCGGCCACGTCCGCGTCTTCAGCAGCCTCCACGTGTCGGGCGACAAGCTCGGGCAACTCAGCGGCGTGGCGGCGCTGCTTCGCTTCCCGCTCCCCGACCTCGACGACGATGACAAGGACGTCGACTCGGACGATGAGAACGACCTCGCCAAGCAAGCGAGCGCCGTCGTCGAGCTTGACGACACGGATCTCGAGTACATGTAAAGAGGATACGCCGCCAGAGGTATCGCTCCTATGAACAAACATCATCACGAGCACGTCACCTGGACGCTTTGGCCGAAACATCACACTCTTTCTTGCCTTGGTCTCCGAAATAATAATGGCAGCAGGAGGGCAAGCAGAACATCGCTTGGGCCTTCCGTGAACTTCAAATTTCGGGCTTTGGCCGAAATATAGCCTAATTAAGCAGCGAAGGTGGGTTGCGATGACGATGCCCACACACGCTGCACCACAGTGAACGAGGCACCGGCTCGCCCTCGCAAGCCGCCGGCGCTGACGCCGCAGCAACTCAGCCGCGCGTTCCGGCTCACATCGTATGCCGAGAAGCCGACAAGCTTGGCCGATCTGCAGCGGTCGCTGAATGCCGGGTGGCTTCGTTGATTCTGCGACTCAACCTCTGGGTCGCTGGGGATGTGTTTTGCAAACTGTGGGCACCGCCACGGTCGAGTCGAGACGCCATCTGTGTAGTGAAACATAATGGCTGATGGCCAAGCCAATGCCGAGCTCGACCGACGTTGCTCTCTACGTGCCACAAGGACCATCTTTGCCCCGTCGGTGGATTCATGCTTCGTTCTAGTACGTAGGAGGGTTAGGGTCCAAGCCCTATCAGAGTTGTCGTATCTTCGCATTCGCATTCGAGTGGACACCAAGTTGATTCTGGAGACACTGTATACACACGCAATATTCACATCTCTTAAATATACCAGCGTCCTCCAAGTCAATACCGAGATGAATGCGCTCAGAGCAAGAGCTGCTGCTCGAGCGTCTGTGCGAGCTCCAGCACGTGCTTGGAGAGGCGGGCATGGACCTCGGCAGGCGGGACGCCCACAACATCGTACGTCCCGACAAGCTGGACGGAGGCGAGTAGTGGCGAGTCGGGTACCGAGTGCAAAAGCAAGCCGAGCTGCTCCTTGCCAGGCGTGTACTTGGTCGTTGTGGCTTCGTCGGCGCCACCGTTAACGGTCGCGGTCCCGATGAGCACCGTCGTGGGCGAGACTGCCCGACGAAACTTGGCCGAGTGCTGCGAGAGGAGCTTCATCTCGAGCACCGACTCGAGCCGCTCGTACACGTGCGTGTTGGCGTCGACCTCGACGAGCTTCCGTTGACGCATGAGCGTGTAGGCGCTGTTGGCAAACGAGACCGCCGCCGAGCGCTCCCAGACGCGGTCTGCGACCATGTTCGTACGCAGGAGACTGGTCGATGGAAGCTCCTTGGTCATGCACACAAAGAGCTCGGAGCCGACGCTCCAGATTTCGCCAAACCACGAGTTGGCCGACGGCGTGATCGAGAGGATTGGGGCGCCATGGACCTGCGGCAGCGCAAAGTGCGTGAGCGTCGCAAACGCGCAGTCGACGACCGAGGCGAAGCGCAGGCGCTGGGCGTCCGAGACGATCGACGAGGCGGGTGGCGACGACGGCGGCGACGTCACCGGCATCGACTGCATCGTCTCCAGGAGCGTCTTGTTGAGCAGCGCTTGGATGAGCACCATTTGCGACTGCGATCGCGTCAGTGCGTCCGTAAGATCCTTGTTTTGCTGCCGCAGCGACTGGACTTCAAGCGCGTCGGTGGTCGGCGGCGGGACCATTGCTTGATCGCGCACGAGCTGCTCGAGCTCGGCGACGCGCGACCGGAGGTACGATACCTCTTCCTTCTGCTTGAGGCGACAGCGGCGTGACGCTTCACGCACCTGGAGCTTGCGCTTCTCGCCCTTCATGGCCGGCTTGGCGGCTTCTTCGGGCTTCTTGGCCGGCGCCTCGTCGAGCATCGGGAAGGACGAGTCCATCATGGCGAAGAGGTCATCGTGGTCCAGCGGGTCGCATGCGACCTCTTCCATCGCGGTCATGGGCGCGGCCATGCAGCTCCATGGCGTCGGCGTCGGCGCCGTCGCGAATGGTGGCATTGGCGGCGCAGGTTCAAATGTAACCTCGGAAGCTGGGTTGCGTCCAAATTTTAATTCATTTGGTTTTAATATCAATACAAATACCTAGTTCCAGAGTCGAAGAAATCAATAAAAATGCACCACCTACTCTTGTCGGCCATGCGGTCATAATCAGATCCATGCCTGTTCTATGGCGGCCGACTAAATCACATTATTTCATGCTTTTTGACAGCAAATAGTATACGAAATCAGTTGTCTGGGCCTGGACGCTGCATTTACGCTGCGACGGCGCATGCAAGGCGCTGCAATGCATTAAGAGCGTTGTCCGTTGCTTCGTTCTCGTTGCTTTCCTTGTTGGCTCCACGGGTTTGCTCACACAAGTACAACACTATAAGATGAATTCGCATTTAATGTGAAGCCGAAATAGTATCAGTTCGCTTTAGTCCATCGAGGTTCCGACCAACTGAACTGGGCTAGGATGACCGCGAATTCCTTACTGCGTGCTGTGTTACATGGGAACTGGCATGGAGTGTATATATCGTAGAGTTATGTCCTTGTCGACACCGAGCAGCGACGCGTGTATCAACCTGCCAACTGTGGAAGCTCCCATCACACGCCAAATAACGTCAATCGAGGCTGCAAAAGCGGCAACGTACTTGAATTATAAAAGTTGGGCGGTGAAGGGTTAAAGCACACACGAAGCCTGCGTGTGCAGCAGTTTCCCTCCGCAGGTGTCGTCTACAGCGAGCCCAGCATCTGGACGGACGTCGATGCAGCGGAGGCGGCGTTGCGACCGCTTGTAGAAGCTTCATTCCTCATGCAAAAGAACGGCCCAACGCTTGCCTGCTGAGGAGCATCCATTATTTGTAGTCGCCTTTTTCTTTCACCAGGACGACAAGTACATGTATGCGCGATTGGCGAACCACAACCGGTCGAACGAAGGAGAATCTCTCGAGTTTGCTGCCCACCAGAGCCCCATTGCGCCCCTCTCGCTGCTCTGCGCCAGCGACCTCGCCAACACGGCCGTCTTCTACTCCAAGAAGTTCGCCAATTCGGACGGCCTGCTCATGACTGTGCTCGCGTTCATCGGTAACGACGCGAGCTTGGGCTTACCCATGGACCCGCGAACCGGCCGCAATACTGGACGTACCTCTCGCCACGCGTGTCCAAGATGGCCAAGCTAGCGATGCGCATCCTCTCGATTGTCTGTCAGTCGGCATCGTGCGAACGGCTCTTCAAAGATTTTGCTATGATCCATACCAAGTCCCGCAACCGCATGGCCAAGGCGACAACCGAGGCCATTGCGCACGTCAAGCACCACATCGTGACCACGCAGCGCAAGTCGATCGACGCCCTTCCGTCGGGTAAGCCCAAGAAGCGCATAGTCCAACTGCAGGAGCGCCGTCGGCTCGACCTCGAGCCACACCGCGTAGCCGCGGCCGCGATGGCCTCTGGAATTTCGGGACGAGCTCGACGCCACGGGGATGACCGAGTCCGAAGACCCAGTGATTGAGCAAGGCGCAGACGTCATTGCGTTCTGGTCTGTGATCCTCGCATTGCTGGGACCGGACGACTCGGCGTTATCATCCACTCATGCCATGACCGACCTCGCCGAGTCCCAAGAGCTCGTCGCCCTTGGGCCCCGCCCGTCTTTGGCGCCTCTAACTCTACCTGCAAGCCCCTTGCCACCGCTCCCGGACACCAACGTCGCGTCGTACCCGCAATACGCCCTTTCTGCGGACCCTATTGTGCGGTCGACCAAGGTCACTCTGGCAGCACTTTTTGGCAATGGCATCGTGCTTTCGGCTTTGTACTAGACGATGAATAACACATATGCGCATGGCTGCGGTGTTGATGTGCTTAGTGTGCTGAGAGTGTTCCAGTGAGCACGTACCGGTATGGGCTGGGCACGCTAGCTGCTGCGTACCTGAAATGCGTTATGGCCTGCTACGTTACAGACGTAACAGGGTTTAACCCAGGCCAGTAACATAACGTTTTAGCGTTCAACCGGTTAGGTCCGCATCCTTGACGCATGACAAGATAAGATTCAATGTACGCTTGGTGCTCCTATTCTACCTGTACAATTGTAGAAATACAATATGACCGGTTGCACACAGCTGGGTTGCACACGGCCCCTGGTACGATCGTACTGTGCCAGGGCCGTCAGCTGGAGCCGAGGGAATCCCGTGGTTGGGGCCGCGTGCGCCCAACAGACCAAGCGTGCCAGCTTGAGGTCGTAGACTCACACACTGACCCATAAATGAGGTCAGTCTGTCAGTCGCTGACAATAGACACTGGACAATAGAGGGTTAAAGTGTGCTCCTTGATTGGACAACATCCGCCATGCAAATCTTCTGTTCGCTATCGCTCGTTGGACCAGCTGTTTTTATTATATTTGTAATTCAATCCCGCACAAAGGGACCCATTGTATCCGTGTTCCCAAGTGTTCCTCGCGCATGAACACCACCAGTCCACGTGTTCTCTGCATATGAAATATGAATATTAGGCAGTTCGTCCGGACACATCTTCCTGGCTGCACAGATGAGCTGGCAGCACCTGACGACATCTTCGATGCGCTCTGATTGGAATAATATTAGTAGTGCACTTTGAACATCTGTGTTTTCATATGTTCGAAGTGCACTATTACTGTACTAATATTATTCCATGCAAAATGGCAAAAAAGTTGTTGGGTTTGAGGTGGGTTTGAGGAGGGATAATTGCCGCGCGCTTGCTTTTGCGTCCTCGGGGTACGGGTAGAGGAGTAGAAAAGGACTGTGAAGAACCGCGAGGAGGTCTCACGTTCGGAGAATGGGGTGGGGTATACAGGGAAGATGGTGTCGCCGTGCGGTCGTCGGTTGGGGCCAGGGATGGTGGGTGAATACCAGTTGAGTCGCGTTTCCTATTCATGAGTAGATTCACTAAAAGTGAATCGCTATTCACTCAGGCACCTCGTTGCGTGAGTGCATATGAGTAGGTTGAGTCCCCCGCTTCGAACCCCGGGATGGCGTGGCACTAGCGTATTTAAGGCGCATTTAATATTCGGAATGAAAAGCAAGACATCGCAGGACCGCATGATGCGGCATAGACACAACAGTTGAGAGTTCTGAATCGATCCTTGCCGAATCTCTACAGAGTGCACCATCCCTGGTCATCCCTGTTCCTCGCAGACGGCCGAGCAGATTGGGGGTAACGAGTGTATTGGTGCCCCGCCTGCCCAGTGGTGGGCGAGGTGGGTTAGCTAATTTGCTACGTACGGGCTGCAAAATGCGGAATGATGAGAGCGGGGCCGCTCTGTGCCTTGTCTTGTTTTGCTGCTTGGACTTCTGTCCTTCTGTGCTTCTGTTCTTCTGTTGTTCGTGACTGCTCGTCCCATCGCGCGGAAAACTTCGATTTCGAAGTCGAAGCAGGCTGCGCCCATTCTGACCAACCAGAGGCAGATGCATAACGATTGATCGCACTTTGCCGCCAACCCATGCAGTGGACTTTGCTCTCGGTGGTGCTTCTCGGAAGCTTCCTCGCCGCCGTCGGCGAGGAGCATGCTGGTTGCTACGACCAACCAACCCCCACTGTCACGCCTGCACCGACGCCTGCACCGACGCCTGCACCGACGCCTGCACCGACGCCTGCACCGACGCCCGCACCGACGCCCGCACCGACGCCCGCACCTACGCCTGGCCCGCCTCTCAGTTGCGCGTTGATCGCGGCAGCTCAGAGCCAGGTGCCACTCAAACTGACGGCGGCCGACAATTCTGGTATGTGGGGCCTCGACGACGATATGAACGCCGTCGTGGCGTCATCGGCCACGACGTTGCTTCTCACGCCGCTGGAACCCAACCGGTATATTTTTACCCCCTACACGAAGGCGCATGTGTCTTGTGAAGCTGTCTCGGGCCAAGTCAAGTGCTTTCAATGGAAGTCCAGTACGATCGACGCGATGCTATTCTCGTGCGATGACGTTGCAGGCGGTGCCACGATCGCCTTTCGCATCGGCGCCGACTACGTGACGCAAGTCAACGGCAAGCTCTTGCTATCGGCCAACACCGGGCCCCCGGCGCTCAACCAGCAGTGGGTTGCCACCGCCGCGCAATGGGGACAATAAAACCCTGAAGCATCGTTCGCTTGCAAGTAGGACATTGAATTTTCGAACTGCTCGAAAATATGCGACTTGAACAAAATCGTGATCTCGCCTTGAACGTACTCGAAACACGGGCCTAGCCGCGCACCCGGCTGCGTACTTGCTTCCGCACCTCGCTAGGCAGCAAGAAGGGTGCGGATGGCGTTGTCCGAATCCCTAGTCGTGATGACGACGTTGGTGCACGTGGCGAGCGCCTTTTGCAGGTGGAGCTCACCCGCGCGACGGAGCGGACTGTGGTGCAGGCATAGCGTTGCGCTGTGCGGGGCCTTGGCGCCACGGAGGACGTTTGCCAAGGCCATCGCATCGCGTCTACTGAAGCTTCCTTTCAAGTCGATGGTGCGTACGCCGGCTTCAATCGCATGACAAAGGCCGTCGCCATCAAAACAATGGCCGTCATCAGTCGCACACTGCGGCCAGGTGAGGCATTCGAGGCGATTGGAGTGCAGTGCCCAGCCGAGAAGCGCACGGCGGCTCTCGACCGAGCAAGAGACCTTGGGGAGCCTGACGCTCCGGAGGCGCGGCGCGAGTGACGGCGTCAGGGGCATGGCGAGCGCTTCCACCATGCGAACATCGGAAAGGTGGAGGTCCTCCAGCGCCGTCATTAAATGCAAACGTGGCAGGAGCCAGCTCAGGTTCGTGTTGTCAACGGGAGCGCCATAGAGCCGCAGCTTTGTGAGCTTGTCCAAGGGCAGCAGTACAAAGATGGCTTGAAAATCTTGGCCGGCGCCGAGGCCAGCGCACTCAAACTGCGTGATGTGGCGAAGCTGACGACCACTGCCGACAAGACTGGCCAGAAGAATCAACGGCGCATCCAAGTACAAGTGTGATAGCGTCGGAGACGTCGCAAGCGCGTCGGTCAAGTATTCGCAATGGCCTGTGCCGTAGCCCAAGCCCGTAAGCCGCAAGTGCATCGCATGGCCTGACGCGAGCCATCGAGACATGGGCGCCACCAAGTCGGTCCAATCCTGCATGCAGAGGAGAAAGAGGTCCGACACGTGGTGGGTTGGCGCCGTCACAACCTCGAGCACCTCGCGTCCGCTCCCTTGGATCGACACGCGCTTGAGGTTCGTGCACTGCGATAGCACTCGGCAGTATTCGGCGAGGTCCTGCGGGCGTTCGCTATCGAGATAGTCGAGCTCGGTCACCTTGGCTGCCCAGTGCGA